TCTTCCTTCATTTTAGTATGGTTGAACAGTTAGGTATGTTTATCCTATTTATATCTCACATGGTTTATTTAAACATATTTTATGCTTAAATTATTTTTTTAAAAATGTGATCCATACAGTTATAATATTTTAGTAAAAGGCTTTCTGTTAGGAAAAAAAAAGCAGACTGAACTAGTCATTAATGGTTCAGTGTAAACACAGGATAATAGCATAAAGAAATGGAAGAAAACTTTGAGGTCATTGAGTTTTACAGATGAGGAAATCAGAGATGTTAAGGGACGTGCCTGGAGTCACATAGCTAGTATGGGGTCTAAGACAATTTTAAAAACCAAGAGATAAAAGAAAATGATTTAAATAAAATTGAGTAAAATGAAATACAGTTCCCCCATTAGTTTTAAATGTAAGCTTAAAATAAATACTTGGTTTTGAAAGGCAGGATAGTATAGCAGATGGTACACTAGATTAGCAGTTAGGAGACCTGATTCTGCAACTAGCACATGCACTGGAAAATCAACTTTTCTTTGATTGGAATAGTGATTATTAATTTTTTTCCTTAGGTTTTTGTTTTTGCGTTGAATACATCAACTTTATTGATGATAGAGAATATAGAGCTCTTTGCTTCTCCCTTTTTGTGTGTGGGGGGGGGCATGAGATCCTCAGCATAGGATAGGGATGTGGGCTTCCCAGTGGCAGAACTCTTCTTTTGGCTGGGGATGTAGATGCATGGCTTTCTACTTTACTCCTTGGAGGCCTTGTAGACCATGAGGTCTTCTACCAGGTTGCTGTAAATAGTCATTGTACCAGGAAATGAACTTGTCAAAATGGTCAATTAAGGGCAGTATCAGTACCAGCATCAAAAGTAGACAGTCATAAGCTACAACTGAGTTACAACCGGGTCCTCCTTGTAGACTAAGATGCCCTTTAGAAGTCCATTTGATGTTTGTGTTTCCACTTTCTTGATATCATTCCAAAAGTTTATCCAGGTGGCAGGTCATATGCACAGTAAATACTTTGGGAATAGAAATTTGAAAGACCCTTCCTGTGAGTTTCCTGTTCAGCTCAGGGATGGCCTTGCCCACAATCTTAGCACCAGTGAGTCATGCCCATCATTCCCCAGCTTCTCAGAGGGACCATCTATTGTCTTCTGGGTAGCAGTAACAGGATAGGCTATAGTCTTGAATCCTTCCTAAATGCCAGAATTGCTAGATTCTCTTCCAGGTCTTTCCCTCTAATTGTAAATGTCCCTCAAGGTTTCTGCCCTGGGCCCTCTTCTTTTCTCCTTCTTTACTACTTCACTTTGTGATTTTATCAACCCCCCAGGATATAATTACCATCTTTATCCTAATATTTCTCCTATCTATCCTGCCCCTTTCTCTCTGCTAACCTCTTATCTCAAATCTCCAACAGCCTTTCAGACATCTCAAACTGGATGTCCAATAGACACCTTAAGCTTAAGATATCCAAATTGGAACTCATTATTTTTCCCCCTGAATCACCCCTCCACCTTTGCTATTACCATAGAGGGCATTACCATCCTCCAATTTCCCCAGGCTTGCAACCTAGGAATCATTCTGGATTCCTTATTGTGTCTCCCTTCCCACCATATCCAATCTGTTATCGAGGCCTATTGGTTTCATCTTTGGAATTTCTTGAATACGCTTCCCTTTTCTACTCTGACATTGCCACCACCCTGCTGCAGGTCCCCATCACTTCACTGTTAGGCTATAGCAACAGCCTGCTAGTTAGTCTGCCTACTTGGCTTCTCCCCTCCCCTTCTCAGTAAACTCCAGCAGCTTCCTATTGCCTCTAGCAGAATCCTCTGTTTGGCTTTCACAGACCTTGATAACCTAACTGGGATGGGGAACCTGCTGTGGCCTTGTGGCCTCAAGTCAAAGGGCCACACTTGAGGACCTAGAGGGCCATGTGTGGCCTCAAGGCCACAGGTTGCCCACCCCTGAAGTATCTCCCCTATCCCCCACCTTTTCAGTGTTCTTACATCTTACTCCCTACCATGTATTCCTCAGTCCAGTGACATTGGCTCTATTGCACAAAGACACTGCATCTCTTGACTCTCTCTCTTTGTCCCTTCTGGCTTCTTTCAAGTTCCAACTAAAAGCCCATCTTCTATAGGAAGTCTTTCCCAACCTCTCTTCATTCTAGTGCCTTCCTTCTGTTGATTTTTGTATTCTGTATATTATTTTACATATTTGTTTGCTTATTGACTTCCTCTTATATTGTGAGCTCCTTGAGGGCAGGGACCTTTTTTTAAACCTCTTTTTAAAATATCCTCAACATTTAACACAGTGCCTAGCACAGAATAAGTACTTAATAAATGCTTATTGACTGACTGTGATAAGTAAATTTCTATATCATAACTAGCTATTCATTTTTTATTGATTGGTTAGGTAACAAAAAATGCAAAATGGATTTCCATCTTTCAGCAAAAGAGCTTGTAAAATTATTCTACCCTTTTCTGTCACATATTTGTATGAACGAGCATTTTTACTTTATTCTTACTTTAAATCAAAATACAGAAATAAACTCATTGCAGAACTAGATTTAAGACTATGGTATTGAGCATAAAATTGCAAGTTTTTTCCAAATAAAAATGTCCAGAACTGACATTTAATAAACATATGATTTCTATATTCATTTAAGCATATTCCTAATTGTTTATCTTAATTTATTAAAATGATATTTTTATATTCAACAAAATTTGTAAACTAAAGTAATTTAATATTATATTAAAGATAATAGTAAGCATATGAGATCTTACTGGGTTACTTTTAATTATTACAGAATATCCCACATAAAATATCTGTAATTATTTTATAGTTAGTTTCATAATTTTATATTTATGGTTTTAATAGTTGTGGGTAGAATAAAATTTTATATTTAATTATTATATGATGTAAAGTTTAATTGGGAGTTTTGGGGGCAAATTTACCATTGTAGTTGTTGCAAGCACTTAATGACTAAATCTAAAAGAATAATATGAGCAGTATTTTAAATTACCTTGGGTGTTCACAACACTGCTTTGTTGCTATCCAAAGGGGTTCTTGGAACAAAAAAACATTGGGAACTGCAGGAGTAGTGTCAAGTTTACCCTATAGTCATCTCCTTAGGAGATTTAGAGATCTTTTATAAAGCAAGAAGGTGGTGTCCTATTGCTATGGGGTTAAAATTCAAACTCATTGGGAAACACTGACTATTATTAAGCTGGAGGATGACCTGCTCAGACCTGAGCTAAAGCTAAAGGATATGTTATTTCCATTTGTATTGAGCATGAGTTGGAGGAGAAAGGAACCTAGAATCTGAGATCAGTTAGGAAGGTATTAGAGATTAATTTAGACAAAAGCTAATGTGGATCTAGATTAGGGTGGTGACTTAGGTAGAAGTAATGAAATGGTGTAGCAGTTTCCTCAGCAGAAAGGTTGGGTTAAAGGGACAAAATTACGTGAGTTCTGTTTTCATCATGTTGAGTAATAAAAGAAATATCATTATAGATTAATTTTAGAATCTTTATGGATTTCTCTGTATGGCCAGTCTAGTAGCTCCTGCATTTGAGTTAGAGTAATAGTATAAAATATCTTTGAAGAGTGGAAAAAATACTGCCCATTTTCCAACAAAAAGGAGAAGAAAACAGAATCTACAAATCATCAGCCAATGAATTTAACTTCAATTTCAGGAAAAATTCTAAATCATTAAAGAGCAAGGTGGTGAATATTTAGAAAGGGAAGCAGTGATTGCAAAAATTCAACATGGCTTCATCAAGAATTATGCCAGACTATTTCCTTTTTTGACCCTTACAAATTGTCAGATGGGGGTAGTGTTATAAATTTAATTTAATTAGATTTTACTGGTTTTTGACAAAGTATGTCATACTGTTCTTGTGGAGAAGATGGATCTATGTAAACTAGATAATAATACAATCAGATTCATCAGTGGTGGGATATTTGAACTCATAAGAGTTTGGTTAATGGTTCAGTGTCAACCGTGGGATAGTAGCATAATAGAAGTGGAGGAGACCTTTGAATTCATTGAGTCCAAGCCTTTATTTTACAAATCAGGAAAACAGAGAGATAAGGTAACTTGCCCAAGGTCACAAAGCTAGCTTGTGTCTAAGACAGTTTTCAAATTCAGGTCTTCTTGACTCTTAAGATGAGTATTCTCTCCCCTACATTACACTGACTCACTGCTATGAAATATCCCAGGTATTTGTGCTTGGCTTTGTGCTATTTGAAATTTTTATATCAGCCACTTAGTCAAAGGCATAGATAGCGTGTTAGATTTGCAGAACACACACTGAATGACAAAATAAAAAAAAGAGTTTGGCAGATTAGAGAATTCAGCTGAACCTAATAAAATGAAATTCTGTAGGCATAGCTATAAAGTACTAAACTTGAGTTTTAAAAAAATCAACTTTACAAACAGAAGAGAGGAAGGCATGGCTAGACAAAAAAATAGGGAAGTTTTAATTGACTGCAGTTCAACTACAGTATGAGTCATCGATGTGATGTGGTAGCCACAAAACCTAATGTGATCTTGGGCTATATTAAGAGACATGGTTTCCAGGAACAAGGAGTTAATAAATAGTTCCACTTTGCTCTTATTAGACCTCATCTGGAGTATTGTGTTCAACTCTGGGTACCACAATTTAAGGACAGTGATAAAGGGGCTAGTCTCTTCAAGATGAGACTAGATGACTATTTGTCAGTTATGTTTTATTGGGAATTACTTTCAGATATGGGTTGGGCTAGTTGTCTAATGAGGTCCCTTCCAAATTGCAAATTCTTTGGTTCTCCAAAGGTTTGATATGTAGGCTATTTCTGTGTTTTACTACAAAGAGTTGACTACTTCATAAAATTATCTAGCAAGACTTCTGCTAAGGTGTTATTGTTAAAACAGAGATTAAAAAATGCACAGCAAATTGAGAATTTTGGATTCAATATGCTAATATCTCCTCTAAGGCTATCTTTTGTCTATTTTGTATCTTGCAGGTACCTATTTATTTCCACTATTCTAATGGAAGTGTCCTGCCCATTAGAATGTAAGTTCCCTGAGGGTAGGGACTGTTTGTCTCTCTTTAATATCTCTAGTTTACTTAAGTTTATCTCTGGTGCTTACTTAAGGTTTGATAAATGATTGTTAATCCTTTGGATTGTTATCAGATTTAGAAAATACTTAGCATGGTGGCATTAAACAACCTGCAGCCAATGTATAATATTGAAAGATAACTTAGCATATAAAAATCTCCTTATTTGTGAGGTTTATATTTGTTATATTTTTATATATTTGTTATATTTGTGAGCTTTATATTTTAAATTGTTCAGTCAACAAGTAGGACTAGAAGCCTATAATAATCATTGTATGTAAAATAAATTATATTTCTGATTTTATTTTCCTTTTAGGTTTTCTTTTCATTCATTCTTAAACTGTTCTCCATGTTAGAGTTCATTAATGGCCTTGCAATCCATTCTTTCATATATCTCTTATCTCTGCTATATATTTAGTTTATAGTTACTGACAGTATATGAATGACAAATAGTGTGGAAGGGAAAAAAAAACTAATGACAATTTAGGGATGACTGTTAGCATTTTAGCTTGGAGATTACCTGATAAAAGACTTTGTATTTTAAAGGCTTATACAATGTATTCAAATACATGTAAATCACTTGCAAATTGTTTTCTACCCATATTGTTTCATTGTTGCCCTCATCAGATCCCAGTGGATTTCCACTAGGATAGTTCCTCTCATTGGACCTCACTGTGTATTTGGACAGGTTTTTACTTGGATGTGCTCCACCGATGGATAGTTATCCTTTTTTTAAAGATCTCCTGGGATGTAGATTAGGATCAAGTCTGCTCTTACTTGACTTTAAAAGACAGAAAAAAATAGGTAAATTTACACTTTCTCTTTCACTTATGTCTGCTATGTATCATTTTAGAGTTTAGATTTTTTATTTCTTTTATCACTTTGAACACAATATTTTTAAATAGATGCATGGAAGTTTCAATGGCTTACTTAGGAAAATGATTCTGATGGCAGTGCACTTTAATGTATTATTTGTGTTGTTTGGAAGTAGCTGTGACTCCCAAGATTAAATACCTAAAATTAATTCAGATTATTCTCTTATGGTATTATATGCAGAATTATCCATTTACAAAGGGATCTGTTTTTTAAATTTCATTGATCTAAGCAGGAAATATTTTATAATAGATTAGATGTAGATGTGGATAATTTTGTTTTACATTTGTTTAGAATTGACGAATTCAAAGCCTTTATAAGTAAAATAGTTTTTCTCTGAAAAAAACTTGAACATTTATGTAATGAAATATGAGCTTAAGCAAATAAAGTTATTAAAACTATTGTCATTGTGATTTTTACACTGTTTTTGAAACGAACAAAGTTTGTAAAAATGGTTTGAAAACTTTAAGCAGTGATAGTTTATTATTTAGTTCTACTAATGCACAGTGGATTAAAGTAGTTTTTATCGGAAACTTTGACCAATGAATGTTTTAAGGTTATTTCCTATTTCAAATTAATGTGTTTATAAAAGGGAAAAAAGCTACATGGAAATATATGTTAAATGCATTATTTTGTGATTTAAAACAAAATACTAGTTAGCTTTTACTTTAAAGATAGGTAGAACGACAGCATTAAGACAACATATCAAATCTTGGAATGCAGCTACAGCAATCCTGAAGGGAAATTTTATATAACTGGACACACTAACAAAACAGAGAGGGAAAATATTAGTAAGTTCTACTTGTAACTTAATCCCAGAAAATCAGCATTATTAATCTTTAAGCAAATGCCAAAGTAGAAATCTTTTAAAAATGGAAAAAGAAAAGTACTATTGAGTTGACAAATAAAACTATAGTCAAACATTTGACACTTGAATTTTTAAAAAACCAGCAGACTAGATTTTTTAAAACTAGGAATAGCAAATCTCATAAATAGGAAATAGGGAAATAAAACATAAAATATAAAATAGGTAACTCTAAATAACCTAGGCTCAGAAAGGGAAATTGAATAACACAAAGGAACTCCCAAAGGAAAAAAAAATAGATTTTAACATGTAGACAATCTAACACCTAAGGACAAATATCCTTTACGCTACATAAACTGTAAAAATTGAGTAAAAGGATCCTTACTAAACTCCCAAGATGCTGTCTTTACATGATCTATCTCTAATTAAAACATAAAATCCAAAATACACAAGGAATTGACATAAGTGTATGAATCAGAATGATTCCCCAATAGATTGATGAAGATAATCAACAACCATATAACATGTGCCAAATTAATATTAAAAGAAATCCAAATTAAAACAAACTGGAAGAATTATACTTGTAACACTAGCAAAGATGATAAAAGATGTATTGGATGGTGTGCATGTAGTCAAGCATGTTGAAGCTGTAAATTGATCCAACTGTTGTAGAAGACAATTTGGAATTAAGAATGAAAAGTTACTAACTACTGAAACCCTTTCCTCCAGCAGTCCTGTTATTGGATATATTCCCCAGGGAGGTTAATGACAAAATGGACCCATATATACCAAAATGTTCATAGTGCTACTCTACCTAGTTCCAAAAAACTGGAAACAAAGTAAGCTTGTTGTTTGGGGACTAGACATACTAGTCTAGACAAACTGTAGTATATGAATGTAATTTTATACTATTGTATTGAAATGAGAGATGTTGAGAACTCAGAGAAACATGGGAAGACTTGTATAAACTTGTACAAAGCAAACAGATGCAAATAGGTAGATACATCAATGTATGAATGTGTGTGTAAATAGAAAATAAATACAGTACTGTAAATGAGAACAGGACTGAAATTTACCTGAATTCAGATCAAATGCAATGACCAATCTTGGTCTTAGATGACAGAAAATGGAATATTTTCTTCCTGTAGGTAAAGAAGTGGGGAACTATTGGTGTAGACTGTTTCATACTGTCAGATGGTGTCACTTTGTTAGTCAATTTTAACTCCTTTTGTCTTGCAAGTGGTACCTCCCTCTGTATAAGCCTTTTCCCTTCCCATGAATCCCACCTTCTTTAAGAAACCTTCCCCCGTCCTTCTTAACCCTTCCCTCATAATTATTTCCTGTTTACCTTGTATATAGCTTGCTTTGTACGTAGTATTTGTTTGCATATTGTCCGCTCTTTAGATTGTAAGCTCTTTGAGGGCAGGGACTGTCTTTTGCCTCTTGTATCTTCAGTGCTTAGCACAGTGCCTGGCATATAGGGGACCTTAATAAATATTGATTGACTGATTGATTAAATAGCTAAGAACTTATTGGCTCAGATAGAAAGATCTTAACCTCACCAGATAATCACTGGAACTCCTCCAATGAGTAATTTTGGCAAGCATACATCTCCCTGTTTTATCTCTCATTTAATGTTAGTGGATCAATGAGTTGTCAGAGAAGGTTCTTGTATAATTTTGATATTCATGGGAGGTAACTTGTTGAAGAAGAGCCTTTAAGGTAAAGTTTTGCTTTACATGCTCAAATTTATTTTTTTCTGAATGTCAAGAACAAGCTCAGCAATATATTGTAAACTTTGGTTGTTTGTGTGAAGGTAAGGAGGTTGTGGTAGGACAGTCAGGTGGCTAAGTGGATAGATAGAGTACAGTGCTTGAAGTCAAGAGACTCCTCTTCCTGAGTTCAACACCAAGTAGCTGCGTTAACCCTGTTTGCCTCAGTTCCTCATCTGTAAAACGAGAAGGAAATGGCAAAATACTTCAGTACCTTTGCCAAAAGAACCCCAAATGGGTCATGAAGAGTTGGACACGACTGAAATGGTTAATCTCAAGTACTGTTTCCTTCAAGAAATCTTCCTGGGTCCCCCCAGTTGAAAGTGCCCCTATACTCCAAACTCAAAATGTGTATGTATTTTGTGTATGTACTTTACTTGCTGACCTGTCACCCTGTTATCTTTCCTGTCCAAACTAGGCAGTGCTCAAGATTCACATTGTTTATTTTTTAAAAAGTAAAAACTTAAAAGAAAGAAGGCAAAAAAGCTTCGGGGCTTCAAAAAGGAATCTCAGAAAAAAAGTGAGATAAAAGATTACTTACTGTAGTGGGGGTGGAGGATTCAGCAATACAGCTCACTTCTGGAGACCTGACTCTTTGTGGGAGCCCTTCTTTTCAGTACTATGCACTTTCTCCAAGCCTATGCATTCCAACCCTTTGCAAGGCTTGAGTACCAGAGATGTCAAAACACAGTCTTCCTGAGCCTAATTAAAATATAATTGGGAAATATTTAAATAAAAATACAATAGAACATAGAGAGTATTAAGGTGTAGTTTTCTGATTCAATCTGCTGGCCACAGGGATCCTTTTGGTCTTTTTAAAAAAATTTTTTATTAATTTATTTTGATTTATCAACAATCACTTCCATATGCTTTTGAGTTTAAAATTTTTCTCCCCCTTTCTCCTTACCACCCTCCCCAAGATGGCGCACCATCTGATATAGGCTATACGTATACATTCCTATTAAACCTATTTTCACATTAGTGATGTCGTAAGTAAAAATTAGAACCAATAGGAGGAACCACCAGAAAAAAGAAACAAAACTCAACAGAAGAGAAAAAAAAATAGCAATTTGTCCATAGTTCTTTCTTTGGATGTGGATAGTATTTTCCATCACGAGGCCTTTGAAGATGTCTTAGATCCTTGTATTGCTGGGAAGGGTTAAGTTTATCACTATTAGTCATCGCAGAATGTGGCTGTTGTGTACATCTTCTCTTGGTTCTGCTCACTTCACACATCATCAGACCATACAAGCCTTTCCAGGTTTTTCTGAAGTCAGCCTGTTAATCATTTCTTATAGCACAGTAGTATTCCATTACATTCATATACCACAACTTGCTCAACCATTCCCCAATTGATGGGCATCCCCTCAATTTCCAATTCTTTGCCACCACAAAAAGAGCTGCTGTGAATATTTTTGTACATGTGAGTCCTTTTCCCATTTAGGAAATAGCCTAAATATAGGAAATAAAATATATTTAGGATATAGCCCTAGAAGTGCTATTGC